CATCTTGAGTGTCTCTGATATCCTTTCACCAGCCCTCTTCACAGGTTATTTAAACTACTACTATAAAAATATAACTGTATTCTAAATAGATATGTACAGAAGATACAATTACAGCCTCACATTTTCAAAACAAAAATCTACACACTCCATAACTGTTCTCCCACATGGTGAATCTCAGCAACTTTGTCCTTCTCTCTTCTTGACTAACTCTGGGCTAACCAGTGTTTTGACACACTGTAGTCACCCTGGGTATGGTGGCCACAACTTAAGTTATAAAAACTCACCCCTGGAGCACACATGCCCCAAAAAGATAGAAAGAAGGACCCAGAGGTCCTTCCACCTTCATGTCAACCAAAACGGAGAGAGAGAGGGAGGGAGGGGGAGGAGCCTAGCTAAGCTCCTCCAACACCCACCAAAAACAAAAGACTGTTGCCAAGCACAATTCTCCAGTTACCACAATTCTACCACACCTTAATTTTACTTTTACAAAAAGAAATACAACTTTATAAACTACTTATTTAAATTGCGTGCTTGTGTGTCTATAGTATAACCTATTATATTGAGAAAAAAGCTTGACCCAGCTGCCTCTCAGTCCTAAGGGTGATCAGCCCTTATGACATTTAGAACTGAGTCCCCATCAATTCAATATAATTAGGTATTCCAGAGTAACTGTTACTTATAAATACATGTTGGGTCCTTTAGCCCCATAACAAAAACTGACAAAAAATAGTCATTAAATAAGGAACACATTTCCAGTTCGTTATCCGTCAGCTGTCCATTCCCAATTTTCAGAGGTCCTACTTTTTTCTTCACCTTCATCCCATACACTTGAAAGAACCCAATTGGATTAGTCTTTGATTCATTAGCAACTCTAATTTCATAGTCACGTTTAGCATTTCTAATCCCCTTTTTTACTTCTCTTTTAAGCTGAACATATTGGTCAGTAAGGTTAACCTCTCCTCTTCTGATACACCTATAAATTCCCCTTTTCTCCCCTAATAGATGCTTTAGCCTCCTGTTAATCCATTTGGGATCGTTATTATTAGACCTAATTTCTCTCTGGGGAATGTATATACTCTGAGCACAGTGTACATTATTAAGAAAAAAAATCATAAATGGAGATCCCTTCATAATCAAAAGTATGATCGTCAATAAAATCATTAGCTAGATAACCCCAATTGAGATTAGACAAGTGTTCCCTAAGTCCATTTTAATCGGCAGAACGAAAATCAGGGATTTTTACCGTATTATCATTATTCTTGCATTCCCAGTTAATGCTAAAAGTGATGGATTTGTGATCACTTGCGCCAAGCTCTTCAGTGATCTCCAGATTATTTACGAGTGTTTCCTTATTTGACAAGACTAGGTCTAGCAAATTATTACCCCTGGTTGGCTCTGTTACACACTGCTTCAGAAAACAGTCCTGAACTGTTTCCATAAAGTCACTGGACTCCAGATTACCGGTCAAAGAATTCCAGTCAATTTGACTAAAGTTAAAATCCCCTACTATCACTATGTTATTGTGTCTAGAAGCCCTAACAATTTCATCCCAAAGAAGTCTCCCTCTATCGTGATCCAAGCCTGGAGGTCGGTATATTACACCTAGAATTAGTTTTTCTTGACCTTCTACAAACTCTACCCAAACAGATTCTGTTACTGTTTCATCTATTTTTATACCTGTTTTTATGCAACAGTTAATATTTTCTCGAACATATAATGCAACTCCTCCCCCCTTCCCATTACATCTATCAACATGGAACAACTTAAACCCTTGAAAACTACACTCAGCAATCATATCCTAACTCTTTAAATCATACCAGGTTTCAGTTAATGCAATGACATCAAAGTTCCAAGCACATGCTACCAAGCGTAGTTCATTAATCTTATTTCTTGCACTTCGACTGTTAGCATAAAATACCATCATATGTTTTTTCTTCTGCACATTTTTCCTATTCATCTTTGTTTTTACACATTTTCTGAAATTATCATTACCCAGAGTTACTCCATGACAGTTACTATTAAGATTCTTAATATCAGAGCATAAGTCAATTTATCCATGCTCATTATTTATCATTTCTAAACCCATACCTCTAACTAATCCTAGTTTAAAGCCCTAACAAACCCTTCAACTGAGCTAGCAAGAAAACCCACACCTGCCCTGGATAAGTGAACCCCATCCCTGGCATACATGTCATTTCGGCCATAGAAGTTGTCCCAGTTATCAATGAATGGCATTGTCTCACGTCCCACCATTATTGTACAAGCGAGCGGTCCATGTCCTTTCGCATGCTATTACATTACTTTTTAACAAGTCACTAGAAACTAGCACTTTCCCAACACTACTCAAGACAGCAAGGGTTACACCAATACATAAAGGTGGTGACCCTACAGACGTAAACAACTACAGTGGACCCCCGCATAACGATGGCATCGCATAGCGATTTTTCCGCATAACGATTACTTTTATCGCAAAATTTTTGCCGCGCATACCGATTAAAAACCCGCATACCGATTTTCGTCCGAGACGCGTCCAATGTGCCCTCAGCCAGCCTCACATGTGCCGCTCCGTCCCATTGTTTACCAGCCAGCCTCCGCGGTAACATCCAAGCATACACTCGGAATATTTCGTATTATTACAGTATTTTCGGTGCTGTTTCTGGAAAATAAGTGACCATGGGCCCCAAGAAAGCTTCTGGGCCCAACCCTGGGGTTTAAAAAGGGTGAGAATTAGTATGGAAATTAAAAAAGGGATTTTGAAGGGTTTGGGGCAAACCCCTGAGAAGCCTATGCCAGTTGTGGAATCCATTGTGCTACTTCAAAGATTAAGGAAATGTGTGCACAGTGGGTTGAACTGCAAACCTTTATAGATGAAAATCACCTGACACAGCTGTTGCAAGCCGTGCTTGGTGACTATTTCAATGACAATGTTATGGCCCCTTTTAGGAAAGTCTTGAAGGAACGGGAGGTACAGAGCTCTATGGACAGATTTGTTGTGCGACAGAGGTCCAGTGACTCTCAAGCTGGTCCTAGTGGCATTAAAGAAGAAGGGAAGTAAACCCCAGAAAAGGACTTGCTACCTCAATCCTAATGGAAGGGGATTCCCCTTCTAAACAGTAAGAAGATAATGCTCTCCCCTCCTCCCATCCCATCAATCATCACCAGATCTTCAATAAAAGTAAGTGTCATGTAATTGTGCATGCCTTTTTCATTTTGTGTGTATTAAAAATTTTAACATTTCATGTGGTAAAAAAAAATTTTTTTCATACTTTTGGGCGTCTTGCACGGATTAATTTTATTTCCATTATTTCTTATGGGGAAAATTCATTCGCATAACGATTATTTCGCATAACGATGAGCCCTCTTGCACGGATTAAAATCGTTAACCGGGGGTCCACTGTATAGGCCAATATCAAACTTACCATTGCTATCCAAAATCTTCAAGAAACTCATGCACAGGAGACTATTCATTTATAATGTCACAAAACATACTCAACCTCTGCCAATTTGGATTCAGGAAAAATAAAAGCACTAATGATGCAATTATAAAAATGCTAGACCTGCTTTACACAGCATTGAAAAATAAGGAATATCCGCTAGGAATTTTTATTGACCTAAGAAAAGCGTTTGACACAGTAGACCACGGCATCCTACTCCACAAACTTGACCACTATGGTATAAGAGGCTATGCGCTTGCATATTTTAAATCCTACCTTTCTAATAGGAATCAGTATGTCACCATTAAAGACACAGCCTCATCAATACGGCCACTTGATACTGGAGTTCCGCAGGGAAGTGTCCTTGGACCCCTGCTCTTCCTCATTTACATCAATGATCTTCCAAACGTATCCCAACACCTGAAACCCATTCTCTTTGCAGACGACACTACTTATGTCGTCTCTCACCCTAATTTTGCCACCCTCAACACCATTGTTAACGAGGAGCTGCTCAAAATATCGACTTGGATGACAGCCAATAAACTTACGCTTAACACTGACAAAACCTACTATATTATGTTTGGTAGCAGAGCAGGAGTTGCGCAAATTAACATTAAGATCAACAACACTCTAATTGCCAGACATAATGAGATCAAATTCCTAGACCTATACCTCGACAACAACCTAAACTTCAGCACCCATATCCAACACATAACCAAAAAAGTATCCAAAATGGTTGGGATCCTCTCCAAGATATGATACTACGTGCCACAAAATGCCCTTCTCACACTATACCACTCACTTATTTATCCATACCTCACCTATGCTATTTGTGCTTGGGGATCAACTGCAGCAACACACCTAAAGCCAATAATAACCCAACAAAAAGCTGCAGTAAGAATAATCACTAAATCCCATCCCTGGCAACACCCCCCCCCCCACTCTTCATAGATCTAAACTTACTCCCTGTTCAGTACATCCACACTTACTACTGTGCAATCTACATCTACAGAACCTTAAATTCCAATATTAACCTTGACCTAAAATGCTTTCTTTATAGGTGTGACAGAACCCACAGGCAAAACACTTGACACAAACATCTCTATGACATTCCCCAGTGTCCGACTAAACCTTTACAAAAATTCAATGCATGTCAAAGGCCCTAAAATCTGGAACACCCTACCTGAAAACTCTAGAACTGCAGACACATTCATCACCTTCAAAACTACCATTAGAAAACATCTTACCTCCCTGATACACCCTGTCAACTAATTACATGAATACCACCTGGTGGTTCACACTTACACTCACTCACCCATTTGACCATAAACACAAATATCAATCTTAATCTTAAAATAATGAATCCTAACTAGTCATAAGTTGGCATGTGATACTCCAATACTGAAACTATGTATTGTGCCAAAACAATAGCATTCACATTGCTAAACTCACAAACTAGTATTTAGTCAAACCATACCCTGGCCGGGGTATGGTTTTAGCACTTCCCCCAGTTAAAATAAAAAAAAAATAAAATCAGAGATTACAACAAAATACTATGGAAATGTTATATATTCATTACACAGATCAGACAACTTTACCAGTTCCAGGAAGAACATTGATGACTCCAGGTGGAATACCAGCTCTGGCAGAAAGTTCAGCAAACTTGAGAGCGGTAAGTGGGGAGACCTGGGCAGGTTTGATGACCACAGTGTTTCCAGCAGCAAGACAGGCCGCCATCTTCCAAGACAACATCATCAGAGGGTAGTTCCATGGTGTTACTAGACCACATACACTAGTAAAGCAGACAAGGAACTACACAGTCATTGCTCAAAGAAACTGAAGACAATAAATATACAAATGGTTACAGATACATCAACTGATTCTGCTAGCTAGGAAATTAGCAGGCTATTCACTCTGTAAGAATGTTACACAATGTGAGGAAGGGCAAATAGCTATGATGATTGTCATTCTCTTTGTATAATGTTCTGTTTGGGCTAACTTCTAGCCCAAAGTGTACATCTAGCATTATTGTATAATTTTTTTTTAAGATTCTACACGAGTTACACTATAAATCTTAGAGTTACAGGCAAAAGTAATGACATCCTGACAACAGTCAGGTTCCAGGCCTGATTAGCTTTGGACGGCTTCAACAGCCGACTTTTAGTGTTATGAAAAATCTTATCCGACTAAACTGAGTGATTCTTGAGGAATTCTTTTAGGGTATTTTCTTAAAATATAAGGAAATGGACAAAAAGGGAAATCCAAAGACACAGTACTTTTATCATAAATAACCCAGAGACACAGCACTGTAATCATAAACAGATAATAACCAGGTCATGTACATGTCAGTGTATGAAGCTTCTGTCATGCTTCAAAATAGCTTTCAGATATATGGATAGTGAATAGCTAAATAAAAACTGTTCATAACATCTGCTACAGTACAGCCTCTCCTCACTTACCGATGTACTCTTTTACAGACAATTCGGAGTTACAACAGGCTCTCTAATGAGTTGCTATTGTATACCATATGAGAACTTGGGTCAAGAACGGGCATCTCAGCATCAAGCATCTTAATCTCCTTCCTACAGCCACTCGGTACACTAACTTTTTCAGTCTCCAAGACTACATATTTGTGCAAATTTTGTTGTTTTTACTCTTGGAAGAGGAAAAACAAGAGGAAAATGGAAGGAGTATAAAAGAAGTTCATTGTAAAGGGGTCAGCTGGTGTGTTTGTATGTGTGTTTACATTATCGATGTATCGTGGCAGCTTAAGAAATTATTAAAATCTGTGAACAAGGTATGTCGATGGTAATAACAATAATAATAATAATCAATAATCGCTCTGGAGTGCTTTTAAATGTCAGCTACAAAACCTATACGAAATACTTATGGCATTTAAAGCTCTCCAAATCTATTATTTATTATTCTTATTATAAATTATTATTATAAATTATAATAATAACAATAAATGCTATTTTTGTTTTTTCTTATGACAAGAGTGATCTAGGAGTGTTTCCCCTGATGTAAACACACTTTCTTTTGTTATAGACCAGAGTACAGAAGAGAAAACATATTTATTTTGATTGATTGATTGATCCCAGAGTGGCAGCCTCTGCCCTTACCCCACTCACATAATATGGCATATATTATTCATTTCAGCATCTTTATCACAGTTCTAGGGTATTTATCATGTTTCTGACATCAATTTAGAATAAATGTAAAATAGATAACCTTTATTACTAATATTAGTATAATTACACAACATTTTATTAGCGCCATGGCTAACACCCAACACCCATGACGACTCACTAGATACTTAATGCTACTGCTCGTCTCTCTCTCTCTCTCATTTAGCTCCTCCTGCTTTGTAACGATGTTAGAAGGTGAATTTAATGTATTAAACAGAAACATTAAAAAAAAAAATCAGATAAAATTTTGAAAATTCACTACATGTTCAGATGTATATTAGTTACTGCATCCTAAAAATATTTTTTGTAAAATTATTATAATTCTTTGTAGAAACACGGTACAAAGAGGATAGTTATACAAAAATGTTGCCAGATTCTTAAGCTATTATTCTTAAAGCTTAATTCATTGTATGTATATTTTACTTATTTATTGTTTTCTGTAATACAGTGGACCCCCGCTTAACGATCACCTCCCAATGCGACCAATTATGTAAGTGTATTTATGTAAGTGCGTTTGTACATGTATGTTTGGGGGTCTGAAATGGACTAATCTACTTCACAATATTCCTTATGGGAACAAATTCGGTCAGTACTGGCACCTGAACATACTTCTGGAATGAAAAAATATCGTTAACCGGGGGTCCACTGTATATAAGAGTTTGCAAATTAAAAAAAGTTATCAAGTTTGAGTTTCATTTTTATCTTATTTTTGTTCTAATATATGTATTTAATTCACAATTTGGCATCATAAAGTGGGCAGAGCTACAGCAGAGGGAGAAGCAGCAGTGTGCCAATAACTCATTATTCCCCATGATACTTCACCTCACTATAAAATATTGTATAATTATACTATTACTATATATAAATGTTATCTACTTATCATATTTATTCCATAATAATATTAGGTATAACATAAATAATGTAGAAGCATGATAAAGATGCCCAAATTAATAAAAACTGATACTATTGAGAGGTATTCAAGGGTAGAGGCAGGGAGGGATAAAAAAATGACAGAAAACGTTACATGCATGAAGGATAACTATAGAAGATCACTCTTATCCTATGCAAAGATTGAAAAAAGTGAGATTTTCTCAAAAAAAAAAAAAAAAAAAAAATCCCAAGTAATCAGCTATGCACGCGTTTCCTGGAATATCTCAGAAGTAAGTCATTGACCTATTTCATGTTGTATTACCATTAATAATAAACAGATTGAAAGGAATTTCCCAGGAAACATAAAACTGAATGCTTTAATTTTGGATGGTGACACTTTTGAAGTGTCAGTTAAGGGGTGATTACTCAATTAGCGATGAAATTGTTTACCGACAGGGTCTTAGGCCCCTAATTCCATCATTAAGTGAGGAGAGGCTGTATATATAAGTAGCAGTTGTGCAGTCTATGCAGAAAATAAAATTAAAATTTGTGCAAATATTCAAAAGACATGCTTCAAATTGATCCCTGTATCCTAAAAAGTTACCTAGGTAGTAGGTTGGTAGACAGCAACTACCCAGGGAGGTTCTACTGTCTTGCCAAGTGAGTGTAAAACAGAAGTCTGTAACTGTTTGACATGATGGTAAGATTGCTGGTGTCTTTTTTCTGTCTCATAAACATGCAAGATTTCAGAAGTAAGTCTTGCTACTTCAACTTACACTTAGGTCACACTATACTTGTATGTACTATCATATATATACACACCCCTCTGGGTTATCTTTTGTTTTCTTGCTAGTTCTTGTTCTTGTTTATTTCCTCTTATCGCCACTGGGAAGTGAAACAGAATTCTTCCTCTGTAAGCCATGCGTGTATTAAGAGGCGACTAAAATGCCGGGAGAAGGGGCTTGTAACCCCTTCTCCTGTATACATTACTAAAGTTAAAAAGAGAAACTTTCATTTTTCTTTTTGGGTCACCCTGCCTTGGTGGGATATGGCTGGTTTGATGAAAAATTTTTTTTTTAAAAAGTTACAATAAATGAATATGCTAAAAATAACTACAATGGTTAATAGGAGAAAAGCAGTTAACACAATACTCAATTTTTTTAACACCTGTCATCTCCCACTGAGGCAGACTGACCCACAAAATAAGGTGTACTCTCATCATCATTCACTATCACTGTCTTGCCACACACACACCAATGTAATAGTTCAGATGGCCCCCTAAACTGCAAATAACCCCACCCAACCTTTAGGCTGCAGGCAATATACTTCCCACATCCAGGACTCATCTGATTAACTGGTTTTCATGAATCCCTTCACAAAATGTTACCTTGCTTACACACCAACAGCTCATCAAGTCCCAAAACCATTTGCCACCAGCCCTATTTAACAGGCTCACTAGATGCCTGCTAGATGTCCAAGCCCCTTGAATACAAAAAAAAAAAAAATTTACTCTCTCCCTCCAACCTTTCCTAGTGTGGCCCCTACCCAACCTTCTCTCCACTACAAATTTATACACCCTACAAGTCATCCTATTTTGCAACTTTGGTTATGCAGCATTACTAGTAAAAATAAAGAAATCATTTTCTGTTGGGTCCCTGGTCATGTTGATGTTCAGGGCAATGAGGCAGACTCTGCTGTGTTATCTACAATACATGACCTACCAGTTTCATAGAGATATATTCCATTCTCTGACTATTTTGCTGTAATCTATAACCACCTTCGCAACTGTCAGCAACAATGTTGGGCTGATATGATTCATAACAAATTATATTCTATCAAACCAAGTTTGGGTTTCTGGCCTTCTTGTCATCCATAACGAGATTGGGAGACAACACTCTTGTTTTTGCAACTGACACAATTGTCTAACTCATGGGTATCTCATGGAAAGGCACCCTGTTCCACTTTGTGAGAAATGTCTAGTTCTTGTTTCAATTTCCCATATTCTATTAGACTGTACTGTCTATCAACGATCACTCAGAATTTTCCCATGATGTCGTCACTGCTCTAATACCCTTACTTTATTTTCCCTCCTTGTTGATGGACCCACCTTTGACACAGACTCCCAATTCGACTTTTTGACAGCAACTGATTTATTACAGAAACTTTAATAATAATTCCTTTAGCATTTCTCACAGCCTCTCCTAATTTTACCTTTATTGTCATTGCCACCCTTATTTATCCTTAGATCCTACATCAATTCCTATCCTGCAGTGCTGTATGACCCTGGTAGGTTTAGCACTTCCTTTTGATTTTAATAATAATAATAATAATAATAATAATAATTATAATAATAATATAAATAATAATGTGACCTGTATATTTGGGCCTAGATATGAGAGAATAGGTCTGTGTTAAGTGTGCAGTATATAAAAAATATTCTGCAGCACACAATGAATGAAAATAAAAGAACCACAATTGTGTTTTTGGTGTAAAACAGTGAATTTGTGTGGTGTATTTTCATATGGTTTTTATGGTTGTATTCTGTTTTTTGGTTTTATTTGATAGAACTGAAGATATATTACAAAAACTGAAATGATTTTGATTGGTTTCTGGATGGAAAGTACCTTGAAATTGAGCTCAAAATGGCAGAAATGTTTGAGTTTTGCTGATGTTCAAGACTAAACAAATCACGTCATGCATCCAATATGTGTCCAACTGGCCAATCTAATATGTGATCATGAATGGGTGGACATTTTTATACAATTATTACAATAATGCAGTGGTCTACATAACAGTATATCTTCTATTTTTTTGTGTGAATAAAAATTCAGAATGGAAAGCAAGCATAATATAAGAGAGGCCAGGAATGTCTACACTGTTCTGGACACTATTTTGAAATTGGCATCTCTTGAAATTTGAGTGAAATAGGCCAAATTACCAATTTCTGATCGCTTTATTGGGTAGTTAAAATAGGTAAATGGGCAGTTTCTTGTACTCAATCAACAGAATAGAAGGAATACTAGCAAAATAGTTATGAGTCTGGTCAACTGAAACAATGAAATTGGCCAACAATAGGGTGTAAAATGGGCGAAATCACCAAGACCGCTACGTTTGTGAGAGCACAATTCTGTAAGTTTTCCATCAAATTTCACACTTTTGGTTTTATTACAACTGGAAAAAGATTCTCTATCATTTCATAAGATGAAATACAGGTCTCCCTCAACATTCGCGAGGGTTAGGGGACCAAGAGCCTCACGAATGTTGAAAAATCGCAAATGTTTGGTGCCCCAATATATTGTAGGGAAATATAATACAATACTTCTTCCTTAACTTGTTGAACCATGAACAATCATAAAATACGTGAAAACATCATAAATTGTACTAAATACATACATGTTATGGTTTAATAACATGTATGTCATTAAATACCACTGCCTCCACTTCCTCGACCACTGCAAGTCCCTACTACCCTCCCTCCGACCCCCCCAACTGGCAGCCAGCCCTCCCACCAGTGTGGTGAGTGTTTTGTTTGTTCATTATTTGCTATTAAACTACAATATAAATAATGTAAACCCATTCATGACTGCATATTGGAATGGCTATTTGGACAGGTATTGGACAGTGACATCATGTGTTGACTCTTGAACACAGCAAAGAATCAAACATTTCTGCTACTGCTAATAATAACAATAGTAGTAGTAGTAGTAATAATACTAATACTAATACTACTACTACTAATAATAATAATAATACATTATAATAATAATAAATACAATAGAATTGAAGAAGGAAATTGTACCAAAATACGAGGGAGTGGTTGACACATCGTCAGTGTGGCTTTGTTTATGCTGGAGTGAACATTAGTCTCCCTGCTCTTTCAAACATTTCACAATAATTCATTGTGTTTGGTGCTTGTAGATTGAGTGCGACTGGAGTGGTAGAGGCAGTGGTTGAGGCAGTGGTTGAGGCAGTGGTTGAGGCAGTGGTTGAGGCAGTGGTTGAGGCAGTGGTTGAGGCAGTGGGTGAGGCAGTGGGTGAGGCAGTGGGTGAGGCAGTGGGTGTAGGCAGGTGAGGCGTGGGTGAGGCAGTGGGTGAGGCAGTGGGTGAGGCAGTGGGTGAGGCAGTGGGTGAGGCAGTGGGTGAGGCAGTGGTTAAGGCAGTGGGTGAGGCAGTGGTTGAGGCAAAGGTAGAGGCAGTGGATGAGGCAGTGGTTGAGGCAGTGGTTGAGGTAGTGGGTGAGGCAGCGGTTGAGGCACTGGTAGAGGCAGCAGTTGAGGCACTGGTAGAGGCAGCGGTTTAGGCAGCGGTTGAGGCAATGGTAAAGGCAGCAGTTGAGGCAGTGGTATTTAATAATGTTATAAATAATAATAATACATATTACTAATAACATGTACTATTATTATTATTATTAATAACACGTATGTTATTAAATACCACTGCCTCGACCACTGCCTCACCCGCTGCCTCAACCGCTGCCTCACCCGCTGCCTCAACCGCTGCCTCAACCGCTGCCTCACCCAATGCCTCAACCGCTTCCCCAACCACTGCCTCTACCACTCCAGTTGCACTCAATCTACAAACACCAAACACAATGAATTATTGTGAAACATTTTGAAGAGCACGGAGACTAATGCTCACTCCAGCATAAACAAAGCCACACTGACGATGTGTCAACCACTCCCTCGTATTTTTGTACAATTTCCTTCTTCAATTCTATCGTATTTATTATTATAATTATTATTATTATTATTAATATTACTACTATTGTTCTTATTAGCAGTAGCAGAAATGTTTGATTCTTTGCTGTGTTCAAGAGTCAACACATGATGTCACCGTCCAAAACCTGTCCGAATAGCCATTCCAATATGCAGTCATGAATGGGTTTACATTATTTATACTGTAGTTTAATAGCAAATAATGAACAAACAAAACACTCACCACACTGGTGGGAGGGCTGGCTGTCAGTTGCGGGGGTCGGAGGGAGGGTAGTATGGACTCGCAGGTGGCGGGAAACTTAAATATGATTTGGCGGCTGGGAATTTGGAGGCTGGGAATTTGGCGGTTGGTAATTCGCGAATGTGTGAAGCCCGCGAAAGTTGAAAACGTGAATGTTGAGGGAGACCTGTAATTTTTTTCTTATTCTTTGACACTGGGAATAAGTTTACGAGCAGGGTTACGACAATGAAAAAGTTAACCAACTTGTACTGATTTATGGGGTATTTTAAAGGTAGCATGAGGTGGTTAGCTGTTGGGTTAAATGCATTCTAACCAAACCACTCTGTAATCTGGTAAAATCACTAATCTGCCACCCTACAGGTCCTGATGATACTGGATTAGTGATGGTCAACTTGTATTAGTAAAGCTCCACTCTTCTCCCTCTCTCTCTCTCTCTCTCTCTCTCAAAAAAAAAAAAAAAAAAAAAAAAAAAAAAAAAAAAAAAAAAAAAAAGATAAATACCCAATTGGCTCCCTCTTTGTAATGGTGAGGTTGCGGTTGGGACGAGCATTATTGATAGGGATGGTTTTTCCTTGAATCTTGTCACACCAGCCTGCAAAGTAGCGCCAAGTGTCAATGCTCATGCCTACGTGGGTCTTCAAAGCAAGGGTGTACACGGCGCCAGAGTCAATAGTCTCAATAGTGGCCAGCTCTTCTTTATGCTCATCCATCAGGTCAGCTAACCTGAAAAAATCAAAGTCATATTAACCAAAGGGTAAGAACATGAGGTTACATATCTTACATGGAAAAAATGGTGATATGGCTGGAAACATATCAAGAAAGCCAAACATTGTTCATGTAACCCCTCTCATGCTACTACCAGAAAAATCCTACCATACCCCTCCCTCTCCCACTTACCCAGTCATCTCTCAACAAAGCTCATCCCTACATCATCCTCTAACATAACCACATATGATGACGAGCAGCAACAGCTCTATACCCATTTTGAAAGTTGTCCTCTCATCAGAAGTAGCCTCAAGGTTGCTAATACAAACACAGATGACACTGGTGATAAAGGCTGGCCACCTGAAATGCTTATGTTATGTAGTGAATGTCTCCTAGAGCAACCTTAACTGGAATGTAGTAAGAATGTTGATAAACATAAAATATTTCACTTGGTGTGTTAAGGTAGTAGCTAAACCTTACATTAGTTAATCCCAACACTGACAAATTCTGTAATACATGTAGGTATAGGTCCTTGAACTTCCTGGCCAATTTACTTACAAACCCTTGAATGTGCACATACCCAGTGAATTTCAATTATAGTTCTAAAGTATGTATGGTAAGTGGTGCTTTAGTTAAACGAGTTGTCAATAATACTGTTACTTATATGTTCAGGAAGTAAGGTACAGGAATTTGAGGCACACTGCTAGATAGTGTCCATTTTCTGTCATATGATGTAAACAGAAAAAATAAGATATACAGTGGACCCCCGAGTTTCGTCGGCATCGACTCGTGAAATCCGACTTTCGGCAATTTTTTTGGCAAAATTTAGCCTCGCAGTTCGTGATTGGACTCGTGATTTGGCAACCATCCAGTACCCGTCCGCCCATCATTGCGCACACAAAGTCAGTCTCCCGCACCATTCACACTCAGTGTGCCATTGTTTACCAGCACGTGACCATCACCCTGCAGGGTCATTCATTACATTTCATAAGTGGTCCCTCGATAACCGTAAGGCTCAATAGTCGTAATTTTTGAAAATCGTAACGTTATTTTCATCAAAACATTGGCTCGTGAATCATCGTTTGACTCGCAAATAGTCGTTCGTCTGGGACGTGTACTCACAGCCCTGAGCCGCCTCACACTCCATTCCCAGCCAGTGTGCCATTGTTTATCAGTGAGTGAGGATGATCCCACAAATTCATATGATACATTTCATAATATTCCATTTATTTTAGTGCTTGCAACTAAGTCACCATGGCTCCAAAGAAACCTTCTAGTGCCAGCCCTTTGGTAAAGAATGTGAGAAACACACATAATTTAAGAAAAAGTTTGTAGAAAAATATGAAGGTGGTGGTGGTAGAGTGGAAGCAGTTGTGATAGTGGTTGATCGTGGTATAGGGTGGTAGTGATGGTGGTAGCAGTTGTATTAGTGGTAGAAGGTGGTAGCAGCTGTAATAGTGGTAGGTGGTGGTAGTGATGGTGGTAGCAGTTATAATAGTGGTAGAAGGTGGTAGTGATGGTGGTAGCAGTTGCAATAGTGGTAGAAGGTGGTAGTGATGGTGGAAGACAGTGGTAGTGGTTGTGATGGTGGTAGAGGGTGCCTTCTTCAGTGATTCAGCGATACTACTAACTCCTCCAATGTTGTTGGAGTTATATAGGGCTAGAGAAAACACCGCCGCCTCAGCTGCTGCTTCACCACCATTATGGACGGCTTACTCTAAGTGGCCCTTATAAACCCAACAACACAACACCTTGTGACATACATAATGACTTATTTTATTCATTCTAGAGTATATTCCATGTTTCTATGTTATTAGTATTGTTTATTATGTCATATTAGTTGAATTGTGATAGATAAATAAGTCACAGAGTTGATATTAGTGTCATATTCTCCAACAATAAACTCGCCATCCCTCCCTCACACAACCAAGTCTTCAATAAAGTAAGTGTGATGTTAAATAAGAACATAAGAACTTAAGAAAGGAGGAACACTGCAACAGGCCTGGTGGCCCATACTAGGCAGGTCCTTCACAAATCCAACTAACAGAACAAATGGTACCCAAGCAATAAGCTCAGGTGCAGGTCTGACTCAGATCCAACCCCTCTCACTCATGTATTTATCCAACCTAAATTTGAAACTACCCAATGTTTTAGCTTCGATCACCCTACTAGGCAGACCGTTCTACTCATCAACTACCCCTATTACCAATGTTCATTTACATTTTATTAGTGCTTTACATTTATTTGGTATTCTTTTCTGCATGTAAATCTATATTTAAGCTAGGGAAGTGGCCCCAGAAGTGACCTAGAGTCCTTATAGAGGGGGATTTCCCTTCCAAACAATAACCTCTCTTCCCACTCTCCTCCTCCCTGTCTTCCATTCATCAACAACAGCGTTCAATAAAGGTAACTGTCATGTTGAATGTTCATTCTTTTGTGCATGTAAATCTATCTAAGGTAAAAAAAAAAAAAATTATTGTTGATACTTCTGGGTGTCTGGAACGAATTAACTGGATTTACATCATTTCTTATGGGGAAAATGGATTCGAAAATCGTCCATTTCGATAACAGTCACACTTCCAGGAACGGATTAATTACGAAAAACGAAGGACCACTGTAATCCATTGTTTTTTGTGCTTGCAACTGCTAAATAAGTCATCATGGGCCCAAGGAAAGCTAGTGCAAGCCCTTTGGTAAAGAAAGCGAGGAACACGATCGAATTCAAGAAGGAAATCATTGAAAAATATGAGAGTGGAGTGCGTGTTACAGAACTTGCCAGGATGTATGGCAAACCCCATTCAACCATCACTTCGATCATGGCGAAGGGAAAGGAAATAAAGTGTGCTGTTGTTGCAAACCGGGTAGATATGCTGACAAAAAAGAGATCGCAAATCCTCGAAGAAGTGGAAAGGTTATTGTTGGTGTGGATTACCCAAAAACAGTTAGCAGGAGATAGTATTATGTAGTTGATAATATGTGAAAGGGCAAGGCAGCTGCATGATGATCTCAAAGAAAATGCCTACAACAAGTGGTGATGCTTGTGATTTTAAGGCCAGCAAAGGTTGGTTTGAGAGATTTAAGAAGCATAGAGGCATTCACAGTGTGATAAGGCATGGCGAGGCTGCCAGTTCTGACAAAAAAGCAGCTGAGAAATTTGTACAGGAGTTTAAGGAGTGCATAGACACTGGAGAATTCAAACCCCAACAAGTGTTTAATTGTGACGAAACAGGCCTCTTTTGGAAGAAAATGCCAAAGAGGACCTACATCACGCAGGAGGAAATGGCACTCCCAGGGCACAAGCCTATGAAGGACAGGCTTACTCTCATGTTTTGTAGTAATGCTAATGGGGATTGCAAATTGAAACCTTTACTGGTGTATTACTCTGAAAATCCCAGAGTGTTCAAGAAAAATAGTGTCGCCAAGAGTAATTTGTGTGTGATGTGGAAGGCTAACAATAAGGCATGGGTCACAAGGGGAATTTTCCTAGACTGGTTTAATGAAGTGTTTGGCCCCAGTGTGAAGAAATACCTCCTGGAAAATAAATTGCCACTCAAGTGCCTCCTGGTAATGGACAATGCTCCTGCTCATCCTCCAGACTTGGAAGAGCAAATAATGGAGGAATTTAGTTTCATCACGGTGAAGTTCTTGCCCCCTAATACAACAACTCTCCTCCAGCCCATGGACCAGCAGGTCATTTCAAACTTCAAAAAACTGTACACCAAAGCAGTGTTTCAAAAGTGCTCTGAAGTGACCTCAAACACTGAATTGACCCTAAGAGAGTTCTGGAAAGATCACTTCAATATCCTCACTTGCATAAACCTTATAGGTAAAGCTTGTGAAGGAGTGACTTGCAGAACTTTGAATTCTGTTTGGAGAAAATTGTAGCCAGAATGTGCACAACAGAGGGATTTTGAAGGGTTTGGGGCTTACCCTAAGGAGCCTATACCAATTGTGGAATCTATTGTGGCATTGGGGAAGTCCCTGGGGTTGGAGGTGAGTGGCGAGGATGTGGAAGAGTTGGTGGAGGACCACAGGGAAGAGCTAACCACTGAAGAGCTGCAAGAGGTTCATCTGCAGCAGCAAGAGATCACAGCTCAGGAAATTGCTGCTGAGGAGGAGGGAAAGAGATGGAGGAAGGGGCTTTCTTCAAAAATTAAGGACATTTGTGCAAAGTGGACTGAAGTACAAACATTTATGGATGAACTTCACCCTAACAGGCCTGGTCACAGACCGGGCCGCGGGGGCTTTGACCCCCGGAACTCTCTCCAGGTAAACTCCAGGTAACAAAGCTCTTGCAGGCCATATTGGCAACATGTACAATGACAGTGTTGTGTCCCACTTCAGACAAATCTTAAAGAAACACCAGAAACAGAGCTCTCTGGACAGATATTTTGTGCAACAGGGGTCCAGTGACTCAAGTTGTTCCCAGTGTCTTTAAAAAACAAAGAAGGGAAGTAACCCCAGATAAGGACTTGGTATCTGAAGTCTTAATGGAAGGAGATTCTCCTTCCAAACAATAGTGTACACCTTCCTCCTATCCCCTCCTCCCATCTTCCATCCACCCAGAAGTCTTCAGTAAAGGTAAGTGTAATGTTATTATTATTTTATATATGTATGTAATTGATTTCTCATTGTTTTCAGTATGTAAATCTTTATTTAACTTGAAAAAAAAAAAATTTCATTTTTATATTTTTAGGTGTCGGGAACGGATTAATTTTATTTCCATTATTTCTCATGGGGAAAATGGTTTTGCCATTCGGCAATTTTGTCATTTGGCAAACTCTCTGGAATGGATTAATCACGAAACTCGGGAGTCCACTGTACTAAATTATCTTATAATGTAGACCAAAATTTACGACTCACAGTTCATCTGAGTGAACTGAGCTCATTATATAGCATTACATTAGGGACCCTAGCCTCAGTGATGTAATTCTACATAACAGACAGTGAAAGTGTTAAAGCTACTGTTTACAAGGTGTTGATTTTCCTTAACATATTCTCTGTATTATGAATTTACACATTGCTCCATTTTCTACTAAGGCAAAATTACCCAGAGAAAAAATGCATTAACTATCATTTATTCAGTGTATATCCTTTCCAGAAGGGCTCATACATCATGGTTCAATTCTGCAATGTATTTGTACATATACATGTATTATATACTGATCAGTACTTATACTGCATAACCCTAATTGTGGAAAATCTGTAAATGCCCTTCTCACACTATACCACTCACTTATTTATCCATACCTCACCTATGCTATTTGTGCTTGGGGATCAACTGCAGCAACACACCTAAAGCCAATAATAACCCAACAAAAAGCTGCAGTAAGAATAATCACTAAATCCCATCCCTGGCAACACCCCCCCCCCCCCCACTCTTCATAGATCTAAACTTACTCCCTGTTCAGTACATCCACACTTACTACTGTGCAATCTACATCTACAGGACCTTAAACTCCAATATCAACCTTGACCTAAAACGCTTTCTTGATAGTTGTGACAGAACCCACAGGCATAACACCAGACACAAACATCTCTACGACATTCCCCATCTCCGACTAAACCTTCACAAAAATTCAATGTATGTCAAAGGCCCTAAAATCTGGAACACCCTACCTGAGAACTCTAGAACTGCAGACACATTCATCACCTTCAAAACTACCATTAGAAAACATCTTATCTCCCTGATAAACCCCATCAACTAACTACATGAATACCACCTGGTGGTTCACACTTACACTCACTCACCCATTTGACCATAAACAGAAATATTAATCTCAATCTTAAAATAATGAATCCTATGATACTCCAATACTGAAACTATGTACTGTGCCAAAACAAAAGCATTCACATTGCTAAACTCTCAAACTAGTATTTAGTCACTTAGCCATAATACCAACTTACCTCATAATTTGTAATATTTTAAAATAAAGAATTAAACAAAGTCTGCCCGAAATGCCTAGCCATGATAGGCGTTCTAGTGGTACACTCTGTAATCATTATTTAACTACATGTAAACCACACAACAACCAAATTCTGTAAATTCAACATTGTAATCTTTATAGAGAATAAACTTTGAATTTGAATTTGAAGAGTCTTATGACTGGAAGTGGACAATATGTATATACAGACTACTAAACAGCCAAGCACAACAGCCCAGCCTCTCTAGATAGAGAAGTTCGAGAAAAAAATAATTTAAGGTGATCAGTGTATCAAAAATAGATTTTTTTTTTTCTTTGTGTAGTATATAAACTGCAGTTTACATGTAGTAAAGTATTGTTAAGCACAAAGAAAGCCATTAGCATGCTTGATGATAATGAGACTAACTTGAAAATAAGTGTTGCTCTGTCTCTGGCATTCATGCTGCCCCAGGGCCCTTCATAGAAAGCCTTCTTAGCTGATGCAACAGCCTTATCAACATCTGCCTTTCCTGCAGCATCAACCTGTTAAACAGACAAAAAACTAGTTGGTTTATGTAATTAGTATTTTATAGCATGTAAACCACACAATACCCAAAACCTGTAAACCCCACATTGTAACCCTTATAGAGAATAAGCTTGAATTTAATTGAACTGAATAGAAGTTTTTTTCAGTATATGGGTACCATTTAATTTCATACAATAAAGTTAACACATTACAAAACTAAAGGACCTTAACATATTTAACACCAATTAAGAATTCCCAACATAAGTAGAGTGCTAAAGGTTCAAAGTGCTGTCATTTATTTATTTCATATTTCTATCTCTAAATCTCTCTCTCATATATATACACACACATATATATATATATATATATATATATATATATATATATAATATATATATAATATATATATATATATATATATATATATATATATATTATATATATAATACACATACATATATACAGTGGACCCCCGGTTCCTGATATTAATCCGTTCCTGAGAGCTCATCGTAAACCAAAAATATCGGAAAGCGAATCAATTTTTCCCATAAGAAATAATGGAAATCAAATTAATCCGTGCAAGACACCCAAAAGTATGAAAAAAAAAACTTACCACATGAAATATTAAGTTTAATGCAATAGAATAATTACAATAACAACAATAACAATGGATTAATAACAATAGAATATAATTGACACTTACCATTAATGAAGATCTGGTGATGATTGATGGGATGGGAAGAGGAGTGTGTTGAACCTATTGCATAGAAGGGGAATCCCCCTCCAGTAGCACTGGAGGTATCAAGTCTTTTTCCGGGGTTACTTCCCTTCTTTTAATGCCACTAGGACCAGCTTGAGAGTCACTGGACTTCTGTCGCACAACATATATGTCCATATTATTATTATTATTATTATAATCAAAAAGAAGCGCTAAGCTACAAGGGCTATACAGCGCTGCAGGGTAGGGAAGGAAACGAGGGTATTGGATGGCAGAAGGGAGGAGGGATGATCAGCAGGTTACAGAAAACAGCGGGGCAGGGGATAGTGCGGGGGTAGAGGGTAGCAAAAGATTGAAGTAGAAAGGGCTGAAGGTATCAGAATTTGTGAAGTCAGTCAGTTGTTGTCAAAAAGTCAATGAGAGAGTCCGGATGAAAGGTGGGTCCATCACATGACAGGAAAAAAGACTAATTTGCATCTTTCAAATCTCCAAGACACAGTATATATATATATACATCATATAAAC